TTTGGGTACATACACAAACATGTTGACACTTCTTGGGATCTGTCCAGGGTGCTGAAAAAAATCAGTCCTTATTCTAGTTATCCAATTCATTATTTTCAATGTTTAGCTATTAAAATACTTTTGAAGTGTTTCCTGTGAGACATGTATGAAAAATTCCCCATAAACAAGCTATGTCTTTTACCAGCTGCTTCCTAAATTTCTCATGACCATCTCCACATGTGCATATCCACGCATTTCCACTGCACAATACTAAAGGATGTGCAATCCTTCCCATTTATTTTCTGTTCTTACCAGCTTCTTCAAAATAACCTTCTTCAACTATACACATTAATATGTTCAAATTCTAACGTTATGAAATCAAATGTAGTCTGTTTTGGTGTCATAAAGTCAGACATAAATGGACATAGGAATCAATGAACCCATTTTCTGCTGCTAGGTGACATAAATCTACACAAAGCTATGAATATGTCCACATCTTGACATGAAAGATCACTTTCCTGTTTGTAGTGCTTACAACATTGACAACATGCAATTATATCAGTGATGGGGTTCAATTTTTTTTACTACTGGTTCTGTGGGTGTGGCTTGGTGGGCGTGGCATGCCTTGGTGGGTGTGGCAGGGGAAGGATGCTGTAAAATTTCCATTCCCTCCCCACTCCAGGGAAAGGTTACTGCAAAATCCCCATTCCCTCCTGATCAACTCAGGAAGCAGAGAATAGATGGGGTCGGGTCGAGTCAGAGGTGGTATTTACCAGTTCTCCAAACTACTCAAAATTTCCGCTACTGGTTCTCCAGAACTGGTCAGAACCTGCTGAATACCACTTCTGGATTTGCTCCCTGTTTATACAGTAACTTACCCTGTCAGGGTTGACAGGAGTATGTTTTTTCTCCTTTGTAATTCCTTGATAAGGATATTGTTTTCTGCTTCATTGTTTGTCTGGTAGTAATCCCTGCCTATCTGGATGTCGGTTGCTGGAGGAATGTGTTCTAGACTTTTTGATTCCTAGTTTTTTATTATCTCCTTTAGAAATGATGTGTAAATGTGGTTCCCCATGTGTCTGTTGATGGTGATGATTAATATTAAATTATGCTATCTGGATTCAAAGGAAAAGGCGGAGAATAGATGGGGGCAGAGCAGTCACAGGTGGTATTTACCAGTTCTCGGAACTACTCAAAATTTCCACCACCGGTTCTCCAGAACTGGTCAGAACCTGCTGAATACCACCTCTGAGTTATATGTACAATAGAATAATTGCTGACCCACATCTTCATACACAGGGACTGGGTCCGTGTGATGGTTTATAACTTCCTTTCAAAATTTCCCTGTATTAATGTGGCAAGAAAGTTCCTACAGCCATGTATGGATTGAACCTTACAGAGAAAAAGAAATGGAAGGATGATAATCTTCCAGGAGGAGAAAGGATAAAGTACTGGGCTCAGTTGGTGTAAATTTCTTTCCAGAGCTATCAGTGTTTCAGTTCCAGATAATGCATGTTTTGACAATTCATTTGGCACCATTTAAACAACGGCAGAAGTATATATCTAAATTTATGTGGCAAGGTTAAAAAAAAAACCTATGACAAAAACATAAAGTTTTACAAGATGCAAAGGAAAGGGAGGATTGGATGTGCCTAACTTGAAATTGTGTTTTGCAGCTTTTTGTTCGGCTTGGATGAAAGAATGGATGTTGCTGAGAAACAGAAGTAGTTAGAAGGATCCAACCCGAGATGGGGTGCCATGAATATTTATGGCAGGATAAAGTCAAGGTTAATGTAGAATTTTAAAAACATTGTGTTAGACATGCCATATTGAGAATACAGAATTGATGCAAACCTAGGTTGTGCCCAAAAACACATTTGTGGATCTCAGCATAAGAAGCATTTTATAGACAAGGAACAATAGACAAACAGAAATGGTTAACTTATCATGAGATATTAAATTTTTGTCACGGAGAATGTAAAATAAAATCAGGAGGAGACTAGTGGCAGAGGGATACAGCTGTCAATGGTTCTCTTATTTACAATCATTAGAAAGATTTAAGGTAGACAAAAGAAATGCATGGTTTTGAACATTGCAAGACTGAATTTGAAATAGAACTGTGTATAAATGATAAACATGCAATTGCTACAATGTACAAACTTTTATTGAAATTTGAACCAGCAGAACAGCAAGTAAAAGAATGTATGATAAATGTTAGTTTATAATATACACATGGGACAATGGGAAAATATGTGGTTGAAAGGATTGATTTACATTAAGTTATCATTTTAAACTTTTATAAAATGATGTACCGTTGGTACAAATTTCCAGAGCAATTGTCTAGAATGTAAAAGGGATTTCAAATTTACGTTGGAAATGTGAACAACAAGGGACATTTTATCATGTTTGGTGAATGTGTAAAAAAGCTAGAATAGTTTGAATTGAAATACATATACTGAGTCAGAAGATTTTAAAGATTAACGCACAATTGAAATCAGATATATTTCTTTTGGGCATTGATCAAAAAAAGTTGGAAAAAAGTCACAGAACGTTGTCTTTATACATGATAACTGCAGCGGTATAATTGTATGCAAAAAGATAGAAATATTTGATACTATCCATAACGAAGAAATAATTGGTGAGGATGACATAACTTGTTGAAATGGCTAAATTGACTTTTTGGATCAGAGAAAAGGCAAAGTCTACATTCATTACTATCTGGAAACTCCTTTATAGCCTTTTTTTTGTGGAACCCAAAAAACAAACTTATGGTTTATGGTTTTGATTAAATAGAATAGATTATAGAAAGAAGAGAGTTATGTTGTGATCCTTGAGTAAGAGCTAAATTTATGATTGTATTTATAATTTTTGTAAAGAAGACTGCAAGTTACTTCTTTGTACCTTTCTTCTTTTCTTTTCTTTTTTTGCTTTCTTGCGTTTTTATCTTACTCTTCAATCTTTTTTCTTTTTTTTTCTTTATATTAGTTTGTATTTCCTTTAAAAAAAATAACTTTAATAAAATTACATATATAAACATTCCTTTCCAGAGCTCTCACCAATTTAAAGAGTGTGCTTTCTTACAAAATGCAGTAATAATTAAGATTTAAGTACATAAAATTGATACATATTATTTCCCCCCAAAATACATATGTAACATGTAGATTGAAAATATCTGTGAAAAGAAATTGAAAATCCAACTATGTAATTGTACATTTTTCCAATGAAACTGGAAAACATATTCTACATTTCGTTGGAAACACATTCTACACTATTGTTGAAGCTCCAAAATTTGGGAAAGCTTGTTGTTGTTAGTTGCGAAGTTGTGCCCGACCCATCACAAACCCATGGACAACCTTCCTCCAGGCCTTCCTGTACTCTACCATCCACCAGAGTCCATTTAAGCTCACGCCTATTGCTTCAGTGACTCCAGCCAGCCACCTCATTCTCTGTTGTCCCCTTCTTCTTTTGCCCTCAGTCTTTCCCAGCATTAGGTGAGTCCTACAGTGAGTTCTTCTAATTAGTGGCCAAAGGGAAAGATATAGTTCTGCAAATCAGATGTAAAACCCATTGGTTGTAGTTCATCCCTAAATCCTCTTTTTCTACAGTAGATTTTTCAGAAAATGATGGATGGCCTAACTGCAAAATCCCCATTCCCTTCCCACTCCAGGGGAAAGGATACTGCAAAACTCCATTTCCACCCCACTACAGGGGAAGGATGCTGCAAAATCCCCTTTCCCTCCCCACCCCACCAACCTGCTTTCCAGCTCTGTTCTCCTGCGCAGGGGAACAAAAGAAGACCCAGCTGATCAGCTGGGACTTGGGAGGGAACAAATAGATTGAGGACGGGGCCAGTCAGAGGTGGTATTTGCCAGTTGTATGCTGCACTTTGTCTTAATGACTAGACAGGAAAATTGGCAATGGGAATTAATTCCCCTTAATTAGTTAATTAATTAACTAATGGGAATTCCTAAAGTAGATTCAGGAACTCCCTGGACAGCTTCTTTCTGCAGCCCAGGGAGCCCTCACTGCCAAGCAGATTACCAAAATCTAGCTGAAAAGATGAACAAAAGTGGCTTTAAGAAAACCAAATGGGGAAACAGATTAAGCCCAAATTCCCTCTCTTTCAGATGACATTATATTGCCACATGTAATTAAACTACTGCTTCCAGAAGTATCAGTCAGTCATGGCCATCAACAATATTTGCAGATGCTAAAGGTTTCTTATTCCTGAAGCACTGTTTGTTTATACATTAAGAAGTTTAAGAGTAAGTTAAAAACTATCAGTTCTGCATTTAGATTCACTAAAAGAGGAGCTTACGAAGCTATACAGAGTATCAACTTTAATATTCCCACCAGTTTTAATCAGACCCAGACTTAAAAAAAAGAAAAACAAGCAGAAGAGAGACTCAACTTTGACAAAAGCATTGGCAATTTTGATTTTAATGTGTTGACATTCTGAATAAGTAAAAAGCAAGGCTCCAGTAGCTTTTGAGACAAATTTTATCAACTGAACAAACTTCAGAATATACAAACAGAGTTTACGCAGCACAGAATCAAAAGTACAATATTGTCAAATTTAGGCATAATTAGCAAAGAAAAGCAGGTTATCCACTGGCACAACCGCCTTCAGGCTAAGAGAATGCAAAAGTTCAATGTCTCCTTGCAACAGAAGTCCCATAACGAATTGTGTTTTGTTCTAATTTTGGAATCTGTAAGAAACAAACATGAGGAAGGAAACTTTTTAAATATATACATAATCTATATTTCTGAAACAGATAATTCTTTTTAAGAAAAATCACTACTACAAATTATTTATCAAAAAAATACTAAAGCAATTCTATGTTTTAATACTATAAATATGAGGATTAATAGTTATTCTCTGTTATTTGGCTGCTGAACTAGATATGATTTGCGATGCATATTGTATATAGACATGACTGGTATCAATCATCATGTTTGTCTGTGGTGTCAGATCAATGAAATGTGTATTTGTTCATAATGTGTGAAAAGGAGAAAAGGGAGGGACAAATTCAAGAATACTGACTATTTAATGAGTCTTACCTTCAGTTGGCTACTATTTCTGCAATTTTAGGAAAGCCTCATTTATACATTCTACCATCGCTGTAGGACACTGCTTGAAGAATTCTTTCATAGGTCAGTGCACATGATCTATGGCTACAGATGTAGATTAGGAGGATCACTGTAGCCCACTTTAGCGGATGATGAAAATGGTGCACAAGCTATGTTACTGCAAAGCAAAAGCGTGATACACAAACTACACAAATTTGCTCCCCATTTCCAACTTGCAAACAAAGTTGCTGGAATCAATCCTCGTTCGCTAAGAGACCTGCAGCCAGTGGTGGAACAGAGTAGGAATAAAATATTAAAGTGTTATTTAGTTTGGATCCTGAGGGATATGAGCAAAGCACAAAGCTGTCAAGATGAATGAGAAAATATAGATATAAATTTTGTAAGTAAAAAAATAAAACCTGCAAGTATTTGGAGAACTGAAGCACATCCAAAACTGAATGACTTGCAATCATAGAATTTTTTCCCCCCCCAAACAAACCAGGAGTTGGCTTAAGTGTTCATTGAGGCCAAAATGACTGCCAAACCGATTTAAGTGAAAAATCAAAAGAAACTAAAAATAATGAAACAATTTTAATGGGCAGAACAGTATAAGAATATCAAACTGTGCAAGGTTTTAATGAAGTAGCACACGATCTTGTGAGATTTCGGGACCATAACTGAAAATATTGCTGACCTTCAGGTGAGATGTTATTGTTCTGTTAAATTTATGTCAAACATTGTGACTTCATTTGTGCCTGAAACATAAAGCATGGCAAAAAAACAAAAAAAACAAAAAAAACGAATGTACAACTCTCTGAACTAGATATCTTTTTCTTGTATTTCATATTTCAGAAACACGCCTTGGGAATAATGACAGATACTGATCCTCAGTATCTTCTCAGCATCCATCATCCAAAATTCAAAAAGTTGCTTTCACATTTCTATAATGGCTTTCAGTTCAGTAATAATCAAAATATGACCTGCTTGTCAAATCTTCTACCTGTACTGTGAGAGGAAATGAAAAACAAAAGAACTTATTTGCTCAGCGAGACCACCGAGATTTTAATCCCAAAAAGTGTCAAATACCAAAATCAATTTTGCCTAGGGAACTGTGGAAATTATAGTCCGAAACACATGGAATGTGCCAGGTATAGGAGGTGGAAGCCATGCTAGCTTTCCTGACAGCAGGAAGCTCACTTGAGCAATGATTAGTAAAACAGGTTTATAACTATAACACAAAGGAGATCTATTTCCGGAATCACATCAGAGGGACAGGCAAAGCCAAGCACCTTCCTAGGTACAACCTAGCAGAAGAAGAATCAAAGAACATGTGCTCTGGGCATGCCAGCCTGAGAAGAAAAGCAACAGATTACCCAACCTTTTAGACAAAGAGGAGCCAAATGTCAAAGAGAGAATACGAACTCCTTCATTCTCTATTTGCACCCTCAAAAATCAGGGCATTGAAGAAGCCTGAAATAGAGCGCCAATGAATTACGTATTTGGCCCTGAAGGCAAATGTTAAAGAAGGAATCCTAGCCACAAACATACCAAACAGCAAAACCCACTGAATTCATTGTTTTCTCCTAGTAAGTATTCATAGGAGGCCTTCAACTTGCAGCTAATGTATTACTTTAACTTCAGATTGGTGTATTTTATTTATCTGATTTCATAATTATGCTGCTTGCATAAGGGGAAGTTAAGGTTGTTTTGGACTAACGTTTGCATATCTTATTATTTTTTAAGAAAATATCCAGTTATCCCTTCAAAGGAAAATAAATATGCTATATAGCAGTGTTGGCAAACCTTTTCGGCACCGAGTGCTGAAACAGGAGTGAACACACCCATGTGCTGGAAACCAGAAGTGCACGCTGGGAAGATGAACTTCTGGTTTCCGGCGCATGCATGTGTACCAGCCACCTGATCTTCCGGTTTCTGGTGTGCATGCGCATGCAATGACCAGCTGGCCGGGCACATGCGCATGCCGGAAACCAGAAGAACAGCTGTCTGGCGTGCCGGAAACCAGAAGAGCAACAGGCGACGGCTCGTGTGCCCAGCAAGATGGCTCTGCATGCCACTTCCGGCATGTGTGTCCTAGGTTCGCCATCACGGCTATATAGGATCTCCCAACATGGAAGTTATTACCCCTAAAGAATGAGGAACTAAATGTATCTCATGTTTTATTGTTAGGTTTCTGCATAAATTTCAAATTAAGCCCAGAGGATCAGAGAACAAAAGTATTCAAAAGAACGTTCTGATATTCTTTTTTAAAAATTATTATTTATTTTTTAATAAACATAAACAAACAAGACATAACAAACACCATAAAAATATATTCCATTACAAATTATAAAAAGTGTGTCAATTGGTTACAAAGAACTTTTGTGCATCCCTTCTATAGTCATCACCTATAATCCATATCAAATTATATATTTTACATCAAATACATTTATATATATTACTATCATCATACTTTATCCTTCTTATGACTATAGTTGTTTTAACATCCCTTTATAACAAATAGTCCAAAATTCAAAGCAAAACCACATAATGGCATTCCATTGTCTATTTTCAATACCATCCAACAACATTCTATCTTTGTGAAACATTCTAAATATACATTATGTTTGATAACAAAGTTTCTAAATCTCCTTTCTTAATCACTATTTACAATTTATATCCAATTTCAATATTATAGGCTTTCATA